GAATTGGACAAAGTTCACAATGTTTTTCATATATCGATGCTTAGAAAGTATCGATCGGATCCTTCACATGTCATTGAACCGGAGGAAATTGAGATTTGACCAGATTTGACTTATGAAGAAGAACCAATATAGATCTTGGCTCGAGAGATCAAAGAACATCGTAGCAAGACGATTCCTCTAGTCAAAGTGCTTTAGCAAAATCATAAAGTCGATGACGCTACTTGGGAAAGAGAGGAGCACATGAGGAAACAGTATCCACACCTCTTCACATCAGGTAGTCTTAAAATTTGAGGACACATTTTATTTAAGGGGGGATTGTTGTAATACCCCAAATTTTAGATAGCGACTAAAATGCAAATTTTCAAAGTTAAGTACCAAAGTATAAACTTTGGATAAGTTTAAGGACTAAAATGGTAATTTAAAAACTTGCAATTTGGTCCAATAAATAAATATTTTACCTCAAGAATAAATTTTCTATGGGAATCATAATATTCGTACGGATTTTGTAGTAAAAGTATAAAGCGATAAAGTTTGAGAAAAAAATTCAGTAAATCAAATTGAATATAAATTTCAAGAAAATTTGAAGGATGATAAATTAGACCTAAAAATAGTATTTCAACGGTTTAAAATGTTGGAAAATAATATAAATCTTTGGATTTGAGGATTTAATTCAATGTTTAATTTGGACCGTTGGATTAAAGTGGCAAGATTATAACTTTTGGGAAAATGCAAGGGTAAATCAGTAAAGTGTGATTTTATTTTTCCATCTTTGACTTTTTAAAGACGATAAGGTTGAGGTGTCTTGGTTTGATGGTAAATATAAAGTTTCATTAAGGGTAAATTGGTCTTTTCCTAATTAAATGAGTTTAATATTCATTAAAGCTTAAATTAAAGGTAAATTAGCATGAAATTAATCTAAAATTTCATGCCAATTTGTTCATCGTCTTCTTCAGTTTCGTGAACCCTTCTAATGTAAGAAAAAAATTTGTTTTCCATTTTTGAGCAATTTCCTTTGGATTTCAAGTTATGTCATGAAATAGAAAATTGCTCTACGCAAGAAACGCTATCTTTTGGTACCATTTATGCTTGCTAAACTTGCTTAATTTCAAAGATCCCAAATCCTAGGGTTGTTTTAAGACCAGGGTTCATGAAATTGATGATGAATCTTGATGTTTTTGAGGTTGTAGATTCATTTTCAAGCTTGTTTGATGATTAAAACATGTTCAATCTTCCTAGAAATGCTTCTATGATTTTCGGTCAAATGATGGAGTTGTAGAACTTTTTGTTTTGATGAAATTTGAATAGGGCTTTGATTTTAGAGATGATTTAAGGTTGGATGGAAGTGGATTTCATGCTTGAATCGAATCAAAATCTAGCAAAATCATGAAAATCCTAGTTTTAAAGGTTTAAAGCATTCGACCATTGCATGTTTGGGTGAAAACAATTATGGAAAAATTATGTAAGGGTTGTAAGAGATGTATGAACTATTCTACAAGCCTTATAAAATTTTGGGGACCATTTTGTAATTTTTGAAAAGTTAGGGGACCAAATCAGTAATTTTGGAAAAGTTGTGAATGGATGTGTAATTGTTTAATAGTTGATGTACTATGCTGGAAATTACTGATTGGGAATTGAAATGGGTGTTGAGATGTGAAATATTTTGAAAAGTTTGGTGATTTAAATGCAATATTCATATAGTTAGGGTGCTTAAATGTAATTGTGTCTTTGTAAAAGTACTTGGATGGTAATAATTTTAATTATGGAATTTTGGTATTAAAAATTTAAGTGATACAATGGTGAATGACCATTTTGTGTAAATTGGAAAAGTTGGTGCCAATATTAAAAAATTATTAAGTGTTTAAGTATTTTGGTAGAGAATAAGTTTCAAGTATAATTATGGATTTTGTTTTGGAAATGTTTATATTAGTACAATACTAACATATGCATCGATATCAATTTATGATTTTGTATAGATCATGATTGATTTTGTGATCGAAGCAAATCAAGTATAAAAGGATTTAGTGTGAAGCATTGTGAGGCACATCTTTTGATATATAAAGTTTCAAAGTGAGTACAATACATGCATGACATTGTACATAGATGTTTTATACATCATCAGGAAGACTTGCGACAAGTCTATCTTGTTTATATCAGCATGATATTATGTCATTTTTCATAACTTCGACATGACCTTGATATGTCAAAGCATGTCGAAGTGTGAAATCATAATGCAATGACCATTGATAAATATAATATTTTTTTCATGAATGTTATTTCGAATATGAACTGCCCTAATGTTGATTACATGGTTATTCGTTGTCATGGATGATTTAATCCATGACTAGATGCCCAAGTATGTTCTTGAGGTTTAGTGGTATTAATCGCATGCCATAGAGTCTAGTAGTTGCAAATTTAAGTAGTACTAGATTGTCTAATGAAGAGACATAATACGAGTTAGATGGGAAAAGCTCGACCTCATCACTACGGTGCATTATTAGGTGAGCAAGGCTCAACCTCAGCACTATTGTGCAATATTTGACTCCTATACCGTGTTCCTCATGGATTAAAAATTTTAGGCTATAGTTATTGGTAAAAATGATTATATTTATATTTATTATCATGTGATTATGGTAAAATATTAGTTATGCAGGTAAGGTGATTTTATTGCATTGGAAAATGGCATTGAATTTCTTGCATGAGTTGTATTGAACTATTTATTGTTTTAAATTACCTCACTAAGTATATACTTAGTGTGTGATGATTTTCACGCGTAGGTAAAAACCAGGAGTAGAAGTAAAGAGTATAGAGCGACATCAAGCATCAAGGAATATATTACAATATTAGTAAGACATGCTCTGATGTAATTTTGACTTAGTTAGTGGCATGTTCTTATAAATGTCATAGTTGCTCTGTTAAACTATTTTGGGAATTGGTTTGTAATGGATAAACTAAATTGTTTTATGCTATTTTAATATGAATAATATGAATCAATATTATTATTATAAATAGACGTATTTGATTATGATATATATGTGTTTTAAATATAATGTGATAGTTTAACTTGATTAAAAAAATTTATATTATCAATTATCATTTGAAGAAAATAAATTTTTAAATTACTTTTGAGTTGGAAAATATTTTAAGCAATACATGTGACATTTATAACATGTATTAGTATAAATATACGAGTCGTAGGTGTTATAGGTGGTGTCGTTCAAAGCTACACGATCACTGATGAAATAACAAAAAACCGTAGAGATCTCTTATTTTTTCGACGAACATTCAAGGCCATTTTTACGATGATTGATGTGATTTCACCGAGATAGAATGGATGGGCTTTGTTCGAGGACGACGAAGAAAGGCAACGGTGGCGACAGTACATGCCACAACTGATCGGATGGTGGCCGATCGAAGCTCAACAGTGAAGAATGGGTTTTGGTTAGTTTTCAAAAATGAGGAAGAGGGGCATGGGCATCCTTATTGTGAGTCATAAGTTTAATTCCTTTCGGCCACACATTATGAAAATATCGCCCTTTTTTTTATTTTAACTAAACAGGGATAATTCAATTCTAGTTTAGATCCCCAAACTTTCATGAATTTTGAAAAGTGCCTAAATTTTTTAGAATTTTACAACTTGGTCCCTTAATCTTTAAGAGAGAATTTTTGCCCAAATTCGGGGTGTGACAATTGAGGGAATAAAATTGTTGGGAAACAACTTGTGGTACATTACATGTTTAGTATCTCAACTATTACTTTTGTTTTGTTTTGGTCATCAAACTATTTTTTATCAAAATTATATCTAATGTTACATTTTGGTTTTATTTTGTCACCCACTCTTAAAAAATTAATGCTCATACCTTTTCTTCATTTCACGGTGCTACAATAAAAATCATTTGAGAATGAACTTTCTTATCTTGCATGCGCGATACTCGAACTCAAAACCTCAAGGGATAACAAGAATCTCTTAAATATAATCTTAAATGCATGAATTTTTTTACGTAAAATGGGTTTTGTAATTATTGGTATAGGTCACCCGACTCATCGAGGGTGAGAAGCAAAATGTTGTATGCGAGTAGGGACTGAGTTGGGACCTGAACTTAGCGGGTTTCGACCCGATCCAACTGGGTTGTATTTTAAAAAAATTCAGGTTCGGGTCAGGTTTTTTAGAGTAGAAGTTTGGGTCTGGTCGGATTCAGGTTTAAGGTGAAAAATATCTTATTCGACCTGATCCGAAAAATAATATAATTTTATTTATATATTTTAATAATAATTGCAAGAATATCCATCTTTATATTATTTTTCCAATTAGATCCTTATTTTATTGATTAAAAATTAATAATTTATTTAAAATATATTTATTCCAAGTTGGGTTGGATCAGATTCAAGCTTTATCGGGTTGGTGAAATCACCCTAAACTCAGACCTAGTAGGATTAAAATGGAGGTGGTGAGATCTATTTTTTTTTATCAGGTTCAAGAGTTGGAGGTCTATTTTTCAGGTCTGGTCAAGTTGGCTGAAAACCGAACCCAACCTGACCCATACCCATCTATATATGCGAGATCCGAAGACAGATTAAGACGAGAATTAGATGGTTTTCAAGTGGAATGCAAGCCATTGATCCAAGTGAGATGAGCTTTGATATTGTCAAAGAGAGGGCTCTCTAAATAAAATAGCTTACCTTATAGTCTTCACTTATTACAACAATGTTGTCTATATTTTTGCCTTTTAGAAATGAATAATTCTTTTTACTCAATCCCCATACACAATGTTTTGTCTATATTTTTACCCTTTAGAAATGAATAATTCTTTTTACTCAATCCCCATACGCATTCAATAAGCCTGATGATCATTTTATAATTTCTAAAACTTTAGTGATCAAAAAGATCATTTAATAGAATTTACTTACTATTTGCGTACTTTACCTTACAATAAAAGTGGACATTTGAAGCATAGAACGCAAATGTTTCATTTAGTATGGCAGCAGCATTTACAAAAAAGAATGAATGGAGGCAGAAGAATGCATTTGATGTACAGTGTGTGAGAGCTTTCAAGTCAATCATGATGAAAGAGCAAGTTCTGCCCATGCCAAAGATGATTTGAGCTCGACCGATACCGATGTGTCGATTTCATGCTCGAAAGTGAGGCTTATTTCATCCATGGATGGCCGTTTTGAAGAGTCGGGATGGATGCAAAGGCTTATAACTTCACAGATAACTTTGAGGTCTTCATACCTGAAATGTTTTAGCTCCGGGTCCAGTAGGTAAGACATAGCTTCTGGTAATTCAAGATACTCCTTGGCCTGTAACATGCATGGAGCATATGAATGAAGCTAACCGGCATTTTTGTCATCGGAAAATGAGAGTTCGACACGATCGCTTACCCAATCTATCAAGGAACCTCTGTCCTTGCAGAAAGGAGGCCTCCCGCTTATTATCTCCAGTATAAGTACGCCAAATGCATGGACATTTCCCTGGATGTCGAGATGGCGTTTCTCCACAGAATTAGGAAGCAGACAAACAGCTCCATTGTTGTCGACGGTGCCAGAGTTCTTTTCCGATCTTCCAAGTATACTCTTCCAACTTTCGAAATCAACCAACTGCATAGTCAGATTATGAATTACGGTTCAAATCAAGATACCAGGACCGACATTTTAGATAAGTTAGAAATGACCCTAACTCGAATATTCCCGGGATTCCAGATCATGAACAAACTATTAAATGCTTATGCATGTAATGGCTAGAAGTGAGGAGATACCTTGGGAGAAAAATCCTCTGTAAGATACACAGCATTAGAGTTTAACTCTAATATAGTGAATGGTGGCTCAAGTTCTGTATGAAGATACTTGAGTCCTCGAGCAATGCCGAGAATGATTCTCATACGTCTTGTCCAAGATAATTGGGATCCTTCACCGCCTGCATGAAAATCGATTACCAAGGTAAAAGCTGATGACAAAAATGTTAAATCATTGTATGTAAGAAATCGACTTAGGGAGTATGCTTACAATGCAAATGCTCATAAAGCGTTCCATTCGATGCATATTCGAAAACAAGCATTCTTGTAAACGGACCGCTCTCTCTACAGTAACCTAGTAATTTCCCTACATTCTCATGATTTAATCTCACCGAATCTGCCACCTGAATAGAAATAAACAGAAAATTTAGAACCAGATTACTCTAAAATTTCATTAATTCTGGCATTTTAAAGCACCTTCACTTCTTTTACGAAATTTTATCATACTGTTATGCAATAACAAGTACCTCTCTTTGGTAATAGAGCTCGAGATAACTGGTCCAGTGCTCCTGTTTGATGCAGAGGGATATCACCGCAATTTCAGGCCCACCCTTCATGGTGCCTTTATAGACCAAACTATCCGAAGAGGAACCGATAATGTTGCTAAAGTCTTCACAAGCTACTTCAAGCTCTTGCCTGCTATATTTAGTCACATCTTTCAATAACTCAGAATCTGCCAGAAAGTCGTGATATTAATCGCTATTACTTCGAAGAACAAAATATTGAAGTAAATCTGGGGAAAAGTAGTTAACAATTCAATGCCATTTATAGCAAACTAACCTATGTATACTACCACATTATCCTTCTCACTCCCTGATTTCTTCCAAGGGATTATGATTGCAGATTTGTTATTACGCCTTTGAAAAGCAGCGAGGAGAGCGAAAAGAAAGAGAGATCCCACCATGATTACAGCCACGATTTCAAGAACCAAGAGCTAGGCAGGTTTTGATGCTTTCAGATGCTTTGTAACATCTTCAGCATGCTGCTGCCTGCGGCTGGGTGCTTCCTGTTTTTCGGATGGAATAGCACCTAAAAAAAAGGAATATTTTCACCATCAACTATGATATCATCGATATTGAATTATTTCATAGTCATAAGACCATCAGCTAGAGTTGGTCCAATAAATGAAGCATGAATACTCCAAGATGTCATACAATAGTCGGTTTTGGGCAAGAATATGTATATTTTTTTGTTCAAATATTCATCGATCCACAGCCAAAGGGAAGGTTATGTAATGAACATATACCACATTGCGTGCTAGAACGCTGTTTAGCATCTGTGTCCTGAAAGCAGTTCCCTTGAAAGCTAGCGCTGCATTAATCATATGGGAAAAACATAAACCAACCGGATAAAAAGAAGCCGTCATGGATCAATGACACAGGAAAGGAAAGCTTACTTGGGAAGGTGTTTGAAGCACTTGGGAATGCTTCCAACCAAAAAATTATACGCGAAATCTACCACCTTTAACTGAGCTGAGCTACAAAGTCCAGTTAAGTTTGAATACGAAGCATACCTGAAGAGAAGAGAATTATTACAGATCAACTTTGAAAAGCTTACATGATTCACTTTAATGGCTAAATAAATGGAGAAGTCTTTGTATTTTCATTTTCTTGAATCATTATCCGATACTGGGATATTTCTCTGTTTTTGAACATCAGTTTTCCAGGCAAAAAGGGTCTCATTTTCTGAAGAAGATATAGTTAAGAGCTTGCCATATTCTCCATATGTCGATCAGTCATGCATTACACATACAAAGAAAAAGCGTAACGTATTATAGTGCTAATCTAGGTAGCAAATGCTACTTGTTCACCATACTTTTCAATCATTATCAACACATCTAAAGTATCATTTAATCTAAGTTTGTTCAGCAAAAAGATTAAATAAGGCATAGTTTCTAATGAGCCGTTTATCAAAAAGATTCCTTCTCGAGAGCTAAATAGAACATGATTTTATTGAAACAATATTCTACTTACATTCCATGTGTCTCAGCTGTAAATGCTGAATTTCTATAAGCAAGAACAGCTCCTTGAAGTTTATTTCTATTGAGACGGAGTTCCTGAAGATACTTTAAATTGCCAAGCTCGGCCGGCAGGGTCCCTGTTAACCCATTTGATTGAAGGTTTCTGTGATAACAAAAGAACGAAAATAAGAAAACTGCATAAATAACCGGAAAAGTAGGTTCATTTCCTCAAAACATGACGCATAAAATTCAGGTTACATCTTCATCACGCTGGATAAATTCCCTAACTCTGAAGGAATTGGACCAGTGAGTCGATTCATCCCCAGATCCAAGACTTTGAGGAACTTCAACAAGCCAAGTTCTTTAGGTATTACACCAAACAGATTGTTTGAGCGTAAAGTTCTACAAAAACACAAATGAATGCATCAACTATGACGATCGGAGAACGACAAAAAGCCGAACCAAGAGCACTTCGACCAAATAAGAACAACATACAGTTCTTGCAAGTAGGTAATCTGGCCGATTTCCGGTGCAAGAAATCCCTTCAGAGATGAAGCCGACATGTTTCTGCAACACAGAGAAACATGGTTAGTCCGAAAACAAGTCAATCGAACATTAAAGAAGTTGGGAAAGTTGTGGGATCATGCTTACATCTTTATAACATGTTGTCTCTCCTTATTACAAGTAACCCCAGACCAGTCACAGGGATCAGCATCCAAAGCATTCCAGTTTGACAAAACCAGACTTGGGTCTTCAGACATACCTCCCTTGAATGTCATAAGGGCCTTGACTGCAAATAACCAGAGTTCCCAACTCAAAAAAAATGTTGGACAATATTGAAGCTTGAAATGAGTACATCCCTAAATGCAACAACATAAAATCTAAAAGAACTGAACTAAAACAACATGTAACACTAATTGACAGTTGAGGATCATTATATTTTCCCACACTTTCTAAGGAACCAATCAAGATCTGCAAAAAAAAAAAAAAGAAGAAGAAAAAAAAAACAACGAACAGCACATTACCTTCATTACTAGGGAAAGAACCGCTAGTCACCAAAGAAACTCCATAGGCAAGAACTAGTGGCAACAAAAATGTACGGCTTCATTTTCCCCCACTGTAATTTGCTGATTTCTTTTTATCGCCAACAAGTAGAATTCATCAATCCAAAAACGAAGAAAAAGAGATGTGGGGTTTATCAAGAAACTGAGACTAAAGGGCAAAGTTCTAAGCTTGGGATGCTTTGCTAACCAAAAAAAAGTACGAAAAAGATGAATAAAGATGCTAACTTTAAGATTTAATTCAAAACTACTGGGTTTTTAAATCTAAAATATTTTGCAACTGCCCACCAAATAAAAAATCAGTTGAACAAATAAAAATCTCAAGTCTTAATCTTTGGTAAAACCTTGGATGCAAATGAAAATGTCAAGTGTTCAAGTAACAATTAATTTGGATACAATTATGAACCAAAAAATTTAACTTGGATACATTAAAGTATGTGTCTTTTGTTAATTGTTTTGAAGATGGGTAAATTATAAATTTCACCACTGAATTTTACTGTCTTCTATTTTGCTCATTGAACTTTAAAAGTTTTCAATTTTCTCACTAAACTTAACTCATTGGTTTTTTTTTTGTAACTGAAATTTATTCTCTCTTCTATTTAGTCACCCCGCTGTTAAATAGTTAATGGCGTTAAAGATTATGCCGTTTTTAAAAAATTAAAATTTTCATGCAAAACAACATCGTTTTGCATCTATATAACAGCCAACTTTAATGTCATTAACTATTTAACGGGCGAGTGACAAAAAAATCTAATGTATTAAGTCTAGTGAGGAAATTGAAAAGATTTAAAGTACAATGAGAGAACTAGAAGAGAGGCTAAAGTTCAATTACAAAAATTGTAATTTACCCTTTTAATATTTTATATCTAAGGATTTAATTTCCGATCCAATTTTTTATTTATTGAAAACTTGAGTTATATTTCATGAGCTTTCAACAATCTGGTTTTGGTAATTTCAATATTGAATTACTTGCTAATGATTGTATTGAGAGGATAAATACATATCAACGGCTCAAAATGGATTAGATTGAATAAATCTGGAAATAATGAAATTTATGAATTCAACGGCTGAAGATGGATGCATCGTTAAAATGGTTTTAAAAGACCAGGTGATTATAGCACTGATTATACTTTTAAAATACATATATTTATTTGGTTATTTTATTAATTAAGATAATTTATTAGCTACATTTTTTTATAATTAGATGCTAACTAATATTTTTGTTTTAGTCTATTAAACAAATTTTCTATAAAACACACTTAAAAAAAATTAAAGTGATAGATAAAAACTGTCTATTATATAAACAATAATAAAATCATGAAAAGTTATGGTAGATTTTTTTAGAAAAATATATAAAAAAATATTTTAATTTTGTTGTTACTTTAATACTTTTTAATCATTATCATTTATTTTCAAGATAATGAATTGAATGTGGAATAAATCAAGGATAAAGTAGATTGATCTTAAAAAGAAGTGAGACGTATAATAATTCATATTTTTTTAAATAAAATTAATTAGTTAGTTAATTTTATAAAATATGATAATATGAAAAAAAACCTATTAATAAAATATAAGCATTATATATTTACAATCGACTAAACAAAAATGTGAACATACAAAATATATAATATTATTTTTTATAAGAGAATAGAAAGATGTATTAAACAAAAAAATATTTGGATATATAACATATATTTTAAAGAGAGTAAAAATATCCAGCCGCTTTTTTCTTCCTCCCTCTCTCCTATTTTATTGATCAATTCAATTTTTTTCTCTTTAATTTTTTTTTACCGATGGCGGCATCGATTTTGATGTTGATTGTCGCCCGCTAATTATCTTTTTTTTTTAAAGTTTTTAATAAGAATAATTATGTCTTTGTGACTAGTTTTCTGCCTTTATGGTACGTTTATCTATGCCTTTGTAACACGTTTTTCTCTGTCTTTTGGTAGCTTATGGTGTTTTGTCATTTTTTCTCACGTCGCTTGACTTTGATTTGCGATTTATCGGTGGTCTTTTAGTAGTATTATCCCTTTTATGGTTTGTTTTTCGATGCAGTCAGATTTATTCGTATCTTTATGAGTTGTGCCGTATAAGGCAATTGTGTTAGATTGGACAATGGACACACAACCACTCCATCCTAACTTAATGGATAAACTATATATTTAGTCGTCTAATTATTATGGTGGTTTCATTTTAATCACTTAAATATTTTCTTAAAATCATATTTAATGTTACGGTTTTTTTGGTCACATAATATTATAAAACTAACAAAACTATTGACATAAAAGATTTTTTAATGATGATGTGGTACTATCTTATAACGACACGTAACCAATACCATTAATTTTTAACGGCTAATAACAAAAACAGAACTAAAACATAATGTTATGTACGATTTTAAGAAAACAAATTAGATGACCAAAATCAAATGTAGAAATATTTGGGTGACTAAATATGTAGTTTACCCTAATATAATTTGTCTTCAAAGTCGGAATGAAAATTAAATAAAATAACCCAACAAGGATTTGGATGGAGAATTGCCCCTGTTGATTGGGAATATATAAAGTAAATGCACATGATTAAAGCGGCAAGTATGTGGACCCTTTATTTGGCTTAGGGTTTATTGTCATTATAACGATAATAGGTTTCTTTTGCTTAAGGGATATAATGGTTTAAGCTCAAGTTAATGCAACCAAATCATGGACTACATTTTTTAGCCAAAAAAATATATTAGTGTCGGAACCGTCTTTCGATTGGGCCTGGAAATTGGGCTTCGACTTGGATTAAATGAATTGGAGTCGCCACCGATCATTTATTTTAAAAAAAATGGGTTGATCGAATACCCTATTTCTTACCTGATATGCGTCTTTCCAAAGATGTGTCGGATTCGGGAGTCGGTTACAGTCAAGGAAGGGTTAGCACCCTTGAACTGCCCTTTCGGTACTACGCAATTTCCAGTTGTCTTAAATTAAGAAAATTGTAATTTAAAATTAAAAGGTAAAAATACGATCCCAATTATTTACCTTAGATAGTTTTAAAGGTGTACCCTTAAGAGAGCCAAGAAACGTGTTAGATAAAAATGTAAGAAATAAATAAATTAAATTAAAATGAAGAAAAAACAAATTAAATAAAAAAATAAGATAAAGAAAACAAAGATAAAATAGTAAGTAATATAAAAAATATATAAAAAAAGAAAAAGAAGAAAAAAATATATAAATAAAACAAATAAATAAAATAATAATAAAAAAGTAAAAATAATATATATATATATATATAATAAAAACATAAAAAATAGTAAATATATAAATTAATAAAACGGATAATAAAAAAATAATATATATAGTAATCTAAAAAAAAAAAATATATACTAAAGTAAAAAATGCATAAAATGTAAAAAAATATTACATGAAAAAAGAAAAAAGAAAAAAAATATAATAAAGCAATTAATAAATGAGTAATAAGGAAAATGTGAGTATAAATAAAGTTAAATAAATAAATATAATAATTAAAACGTAAATGTAAGAGACCGAATCAAAAGGAAAAACAAATCGATGGGCAAATTTTGAAGAAAAAAATTGATTTAGGGGGGAGAATTGAATATTTAAAAAATAGGAACACGCATCGGGGGTAGATTTAGGTTCGAAACTTCGAAACCCACCCCTTTTTTGTCATCGACGCAACCCACATTTTGGGTTATTCGAATCAAATCTCAAGAAAAATAGCATGCACATGCGAGAAATGAACGAATCAAGGTAAAAAAGATGCTACCTTTTATTTCCTTTTCGAATCGTTTACCATAGCTTTGCCTTTGTACTTTTTCGTGCTTTCCTCTGTATTTTGTAATCGTATGTTACAATAGTGAGTTAAAATGGCTATTTATAATGCTTGTGGATCCTATTTTTAGGAGTTTGAATCCTAGTAAAACTCTATCCTATTTTTAGGAGTTTGAATCCTACTAAAACTCTAACGTTTGTTTTTTGAATCCCACTAAATCGGGGTTGTTGAGAGTATTGTACCCAGACGAAAAAGTGTGTTGACAGCTACCCCTCTTTGCCCATAGTCGTGTAACGGGGATAGGGCAAAGATTAAAAGACACGCTTTTCGTTTGGTGGAGTTGAAAATTGACTCTGATGTTTCAATAACTCCTTGTCGAATTGAGTTATGGATGACTCCTCCGTCATGAAGTCGAGTTCATCTTGAAATGATATGAAATTGAAGCCGTAGTTCGGAATCTAAATCATCACGTGGCTTCTCGTTGCCCTTCGGTCTTCTTCTCGGTTTAAAGACCTTGGATCGGAATCGAACTTAGAAATCGTCGTTGACAGATAGCCCTTCTTACCTTGAGCTATGCTGCAAATGATGTGCCCTCGAAGCTGAGTGTAATCGAACTCGAAGGTCTTGAGTTTCAAGAGAAACATTTTCAAAGGTTTTTTTGTGTTTCAAGAGAAACAATTTCAAAGGTTTTTTTCGTGTTTCAAGATAAACTGTCCCAAGGGAGGCAAAATTTTGTTTCAAGAGAAACATATTCAAAGATTGGTGTTTCAAGAGAAACTGTCTCAAGAGAGACAAAACTTTGTTTTAAGGGAAACTATCTCAAGGGAGACGAAATTTATTTCAAGGAAAACAGATTCAAAGATTTTGTTTCAAGGGAAACTGTCTCAAGAGAGATAAAACTTGGAAACTGTCTCAAGAGAGACAATGGTGAGCACGATTCCCTTCGTCGTGAAGTTAAAACCGTGGATGGCCCCTTCGTTGTGAAGTTGAGCCTTGGAATTGGATATCCTTCGTCGTGAAGTTGAAATCCAAATAAGTTGTATTGTTTTGAGTCCAATATCCTCCGTCGTGAAGTTGAAATTGGCTCTGGAACTGGAAATTGTATGTTGACAACCAGTCGTCCCTTCGCTGTGAAGTTGAACTTGTGTTGTCTCGAGTCCAATATCCTTCACTGTGAAGTTGAAATTGGTTTTGAAACTGGGAAATTGTTTGTTGACAACCAGTCGTCCCTTCGCTGTGAAGTTGAACTTATGTTGTCTCGAGTCTAATATCCTTCACTGTGAAGTTGAAATTGGCTTTGAAATTGGGAAGCCCGTTTGTCGTGAAGTTGAGCCTTAAATGGCACGATATCCTCCGTCGTGG